CGGAACGAAGAGCCAGTGTGCGGCGTTTGAGAAGGCTAACTTCTTTTACCAGGTCGGTTGCCTCAGTCTCTGAACGAAGTGCTTTGGATTTGGACTCCTGTACCACAATTTCAGCACGAGATACTGCCGCGTCTGCGCGGCGTTTGGAAGCGGCTGCTGCTGATTCGGCAGCTTGTCTTCGTTCGCGAGCGATTGTCAGTTCGGCTTGAGTCGAAGCACATTGTGACTGAGCTGTCAGCGAGCAAAGCAGTATCACGTGAGAGGTAGAAAAGCATACGCGAAGACGAAGTTATTTTGATATTTTCATCCCTTTCAGATAATAATTCCGAACGATTACACATAAACCTAGACGTTTTATTTTTTAGGCGAAACAGCTCTTTGGCGTATAGAGGCTGGAGCCTAAAAAGGCGGCGCGGCTAACTGCAGCCTAGTTAACATGCATAGCGCCGATCTAGTTAGGAGAACAGTGTACAAATAAATAGTTAGTCCATCGTATTATATTTCTCAATACTAAAACAGTATTAGAAACCTGACTGATAACATATTTTTGCCGTTGACTGATCGTGCTAATAAGGACCTTTACAAGCATACACAAAGTTTGTTTGCGGTACATTTTGCAAATCGGCTGTCGAGCAAGGGCCTGAAGTTAAATTGGCATCTGGAAAGGTATTAGCTGCTATAAGTAGACGCAGGCAGCGGGCGAAATGCGCTTCATCGATTAGACAGTGAGAAGACGATGCATTGCTGTAAAGCTGCAGCACAGAATGCCATGTGTGACAATCTTTTTTAAATCGATAAACAACTCCGTTCAACAGTGTTTCATGGCGGAGCCCAAAATTTGCAGCGCACTCACGCGGCCGTCAACGCATGCAGAGGACGAGGCTCAAGTACTAATCCCTAGGGAAAACTTGAATCTGTTTAAAGTAGTCAAGATGACGCTCATAGGTGCGCCAAGCAAGGGTTAATCGGTTAAGCCGAGCTCTGGATTTTGAATCCCAGATCAGACGGTTAAAACTACAGTCAATGGCAAAGGATTAAGTTTTATTAGTGGTTAGTAAAAATCCTACCAAAGCGACCTATACACGCCTTCTTCGCACAAAGAAATTTTCTCCGAGGATTTCTCTTTTTGTCGCTAGTGCCAAATGAATGCTTGCAGTGTTTGGTAGCACCATCACTTCCATAAAAGTCAGTCTCATCAAAGTGTAACGGAGATATTGGAGACCGATAAGAAGTAAGGCTTTCGGGCGGACGAAGCAGTAATGCTATTCAAACCGAAAT